TTCAACTTCCCTCTTCCCTGGAAGCTGACCTGTGAGATCCTGGCCCAAAATGAAAGGGGAGTGTGCGGGTGGGAGAGAGAGGGGGCCAGCGTGCTTGCTCCACATCAACTCCTGGCCCCTTTGAACACCAGCAGAACATGACTGGCTCCCTCCTCATCACCTGTAAGAGGACATGGAGCCTGCCAGGCAGTCACAGCCTACAGCAGTCAAAGAATTGGTTCCTGAGTACCCTCTCTCAAACTCTCGTGTAACTCTGCCTTCAGTAACTCTGCCTTGTCCTCGGTTCGCTGCAAATTGCCATGCAATGTCTGTAGCTGTTACTAAAGAAAGAGGACTCTTATTTTGTTCACAGGCTCTTCAAAGCGCAGACTGTCTCTCAGCCGTTACTAGTCAAAAATGGTACCTTGGGGCAACATTGCTATGTGCATCCTGCTTTTCTCTGAGGAATGGGGTCTGGACAGTGCTCCGCGTAACTCTGAGGCAAGCTGGCTGGGATCCTCGCTTGGTGCTTCTCGGTCAGGGGTCCCAGCGTGCTTGTGGTAACAGGAACCGTCTTTTGACTGTCCGAGGCAGCCCCGGTGCCAGGCGGAGCTCAGCGTGAGGAACACAGCGGTGAAGAAGTTTGCACAAGTTGAGACTGGCACCCTGCTGAGAGCTTCCCCAGGCACTGATCAGGGATGAGCGAGAGGGGGAAACACCCCCACATATTCGTGTTGCATCCCCAGTGAGCATGTAGCAACAGAAGTTTAACTCTACTTAGCCAGGGGTTCCTGAACACTAGCATGCCACCGGTGGCTTGGGAGCTACTTAAGGTCTACAGGTGCCTGGTAGCAAGTCTGGACTGCGTACAGGGAGAAGCCTGTGTGAGCCACGGGCTGAGTTTCTCCATGCAGGCAGCGAGTGCTTCTCAGCTGATGGTGGAGGGGTGAGACTGGGGAATAATTTTAGTTTGTTTCCTGTTCTCTCAAAAATCACTGTGATGTAGTCACAGGGGTTCTCCGATACACAGCTGGTTTTGGGGGGTGGAAAGGTTTGACACGGGGGAGGAAGGAGTCAGTGCGGAGTGTAAGCTTCGCTTTGTGGGAGTAAAGGTGTGTCAAAGAGCTTACAGGAGGAGATGGGCTGCATGAATCCTGAGGACAGAGCTGGGGGCTGCTGCTGCAGTCAGCAGTGTGGTACCTCGCCTTGCTGATGATTCTCATGCTGTCAGGGGTACCTGAGCGAACAAACAGGTTTAAAAAAATGTGACCAGGGATTTCTGTTTGGTCCTGACCTAATAGGACAGACCCCACTTCTCCATCGTCCTGAGCTGCCAGTGATTGCAAGGTGGTTTTGTTAGACCTTCCGTCTGGATGGAGACCTGGCCTGGCAGCCCAAACATTCAGATTTCAGCCTTTATGCAGGGAGAGGCAGCGCATTGGTTCTCTGCTATCCTTTATTCTTAATACATGCTCTCTTTTTCTGTAACACATCTCCACAGCTCTGCAGAGCTTCGCCGCTATTGTTTGCTGTAAGCCCACAGCAGCATAGGCAGGGAATAGAAGACTTACGAATACAGCAGATGCCAACCAGAAGGGCTGGGGATGGGTAGAGACCACTTACACACTAATATGCGGGATACTTGCTTTGTAACAGCTTGCCAAGTTGTCCTCCCGTGCAGCACGAGGAGTGTGTACTTGTGCGGTGGATCCTGTGCATCACCTTAGAAAGATGATCGATCTCTGTGACAATCTGGGGTCACCAGCACTTCCAGGGAATTCACCAGGCTCTTGGCCCGCTGGTGCTCGGCAGCCTCAGCACTGGCTGCTGACTGGAGGTCTTCAGCATTGTCTGGGTGTTCAGATCCAACTCTGACGTGTTTTGGCGATGGGGGCTAGGCAGCCACACAGTCCGAGGCATCAAGCTCACAAAGTTCACTTGGGGAAGCCTCCTTGATATTTTTGTCATACTCTTCAGCTCAGAAAATCTATGTACCTGGTTTATTTCTTTTCTCAGGGACGGTGAGAGCAGCAAGTCTATGTGAGTATTGTTCTACCCTGTCCTCCTTGGAACAGCGTTTTTGTTTTCCTGTTGTAGACTGGTTTGGGCTTCTGGTGCTGTAAGTGGAGGTCCTCCGGCCTTCCTGGCACTCATCATCAGCATGTTTACACCCCTTTCCCAGCGCTGCTGTGGTGCATGTCACGCAGGCAGTCTCTGACCTCCATTCTCTCCTCTGCACTTTATTTCCAGTAGGTTCCTGACTTGCTGTCACCTTAGATAAGTCACTCTTGCATCCCCTGCTTTCCCAGCTGTAGAGGGAGAATTGTGCCTCTCTGCAGAGCTGGGAAGCTTTGAGAGCGCCACAAAAGGAGCTAGATACAGGCTTGCTCTATTCATTGTGCTTGACAACTCAGTAAATAAAACTTCACTCAATTGCTCGCTCTGTAATTCACACATAAAAGACCTGTCATTCTGATCTCTCCCACACCATGTTTTAAATGCAAAGGATGGAGTGAGACCTTCTAGTAAAGCAGCACAATTTCAGTGCAGTACAGAATGGTCTTTGAGGGTAAGGTATTGTCATAAATAGTATAATGCACCTGCCTTGGCAGGAGGAGCGGAGTGCACGTGGTGAACCTGGCCTTCGTCACAGCCTTCCAGAATTTAACATGGATCTTGTGACACTTGATAAGCCTTCTGGATCCTCAGAGGGTGCAGGAGCTATACTAGCTTTCCAGAGAAAGGCAGCAGTTCATGCCAGTGGGGAGCCTGGTTTTTCCTCCTTGGGTTTGAGAGGAATAAATAAATATTCATCCTCTTCTGGTATCCAGGTTCTTATACCTTCAGCTGCAAAATGCATCCTAATCATCATGCTTCAAGGCTCTGTGTTACAGTGCTGGCTGGCCCAAGTCCCGGGGGACAGCCTGCTGTCTCTGCAGGCTCTTGCGCTCTGGCAGCAGGCAGCTGTCAGAGCTATAGCTCTTGAATGTAAAGTTTCCACAGCATCGCTTAAAGCTGAGTTCTAAGGTTCAGGCATGTCCTCTGTAATCACCTCTGCCATCCTCCAGCCCAGTCTTCGCATCTCTGGTGTGATGCTCAGTTCTGCAGTTCTTGCTTGACTCTACACCTTGGGTTTTTCCCATGGTTTTTGCTTCACCCCCCCTGGAAGTGAGCTGCCCAGCCCTCTTGCTCCTTGCTTACAGAAACCAGAAGGCATTACCTCGGATATAGAAAAGCTTTGTATTGCCATCCCCTTCTGGTGTGCTGTGCTCCTCCACAAAGTTGTAGTTAGGCCGAAGGAACTTGGAGCTTTCCAACCTTTGCTTACGTACCTGGTGATTTGTAAGCTGTGTCTGTGTTTCCGAACAGCTGAATGTCCTGAAAAGTACAGAATCCTGTTTTTCAAGCAAGGATTCTCTTTTCTTTGCCTCTGTGCACACTCTGTTAACTGCTCTGCTTGATAGGGCTCTGTACTGAATCAGCCACATCAAATGCCTTGATCTCCTCTGGTGGTGTCTCCTTCGCAGGGCTGGCAGTAGTACTGCCCGTGTTATTCTTTGAGAAATGGAATCAGCAAAATCCGAGGAGCTGGTTGTCAGGGAAACCTGTGTGATATCCCAAGCTGAATTAAGGAAAAACTCAGCCTAGAGTTCCTGGTGCTAATGTGACACCTGTCCCTGGAGCCTGTCCCCAGGCTGTCTGGTTGATCAAGAACCGTGGCAATCAAGTTTGAACAGTCAACAAGGCTTCAAGCTTGTAGCTGTTCAGCACGCAGTGGCTGGAGGCCAGCGCTCTTGCAGTCTCACTGTGTGAAGCTCTGCTTAGGAAGTGATGATTAGTGTGCAGAAGAGATAACGTCCCATTACTGTGACCGGCTGTTAAAGTCTTTCTTGTAGAGCTGGAGCTAGACCTGTCTCGTCACTGTGCCAAGGGAGGTGGTTGTTTCTGCGGTGTAAGCCTCTTGGGCAAGGGATCTCTCGCTTTCTCTCCGGTTTGTCAACATGCTCCGAACACACGGTTGGTAGCTCGACAGCAAAGGCTTTGGTGGTAAAAACAGCTTCAGATGTTCCCACTCTGCTTTGCAGTTCGCTGCCTCCTCTCCTGTGCTGGAAGTGGCATAGTGAGAGGCTGTGCACATCCAGCTCAGAAATCACCCTCCAGAAAGGGGTGAAAACTTCTTGATCCTGTTTTGCCACTGTAGCCCACTGTGAATCACGCTGTCCGTAGGGCCGGTCAGTGGGCAGTGAAACGTCTCTCTTGGGCAGACAGCGCTGGATGGGCTCTGGGTGCAGAAGATGGTGGATGATAGCTATGCTCCCATTCCAGAGGTGTTCATCCCAGCCTGTCAGTGCTGGCGTTTTAGTGCCGGGCCTTGAGACAGGGGAAGAATTGTGACTCTTCTCTAGGTGGCCGGCGTGGAGGACTAGTTGGTGTCTCTCTGGTGGTGTTGGTAGCCCTGCAACACCGCTGGGGAAGCACATGAGGAGTAGAGGAGTGAATTGGAATGGCTCTTGCTTACCAGGATGATGGCGAGCCAAGCAGCGTTTCTCACTGCAGAGCTGTCCCGCAGAGGCACCGGAGAGCTTTCGGCGCCATGTTGGGTTGTGTGTTGCCACTGTTAGATCATTGCTTGTTCTTCCTGGGTTTCCTGCAGATATTAAGACTGTGTGCTGGGCTGAAAGCCAGCGTTGTCTAGGCCCTGGATTTAGTGAGCTAGCCTTTGCCAGGCTGCCCGCACTCCACTGTACTCCTCTGACACCCAGTGTTTCCAGGCAGGTCAGTATGGATCCAATCAGACCTTGCCTGTCTGCGCTGCTTTCCCTTCCCTGTGCTCACCTTCTTGCTTTGACCTTTCCCTTCCCTTTTTGTATCCCCACTGAATGGCTGCCAGCCCCTGCCAGCTCTGCCTCTTAGAGCTGCCACTTGTGATTCCTGAAAGGCGGACAGGCGTGAATGAATGAGAGCCTAGCAGAGAGCAATCATTTGTTGCAGCAAGTTTTCTTTTTCCCCCCTTTCTTCAGATACAGCACAAAGAATCCCTCTCTGCAGTCGGAGACGGTTCATTACAAGAGAGGGGTAAGCCAGCAATTCTCCCTGCCTTCCTTCAAGATTGATTTCTCAGACTGGAAGGATGATGAGGTAAGCCTCTTCTCAGTGTCCCCTTCTTTCCACAACCCAGTTGTCCCAGAAGCACTGGATTCCATTTAGTGCCATGAAGTTATGGCTGGAAGACACCCTCTCCCAGCTGCCATGGCATGTTTTGTGGGTATGAGACGAATGGGGCCCTGGGAGGAGCAGGCATGAACACTGTATGAGAAATTGGCAGGTAGATCAGGCAAACAGGGAAGAAACCCAGAGAAGCAACTTCTGATATCGCTGATCAGCTGGCATCCCCACATCTGGTGTAGGAGGGGGACTGCAGAGATTGGCACTGGAGCTCTTCCTGGAGGAACCCGCCACTCCTTAGCCTTCCTCTCCCTGCCAGCCAAAAAGCTTGTGGGAACAAATGTCTGTCTTGATCTCTCTGTTTTGGTGGCTTTTTGGTTTTGTTTTTTTGGCTGGTCCTCTACAACAGTGATCTCTAAAGTGGGGTGCTTGCAAGACAATTCATTGGGGTGCGGGAAGAGCTTCAGTAGTACATGTATATATCTTATTAATAATGAATATACATATATTGGGAGTACGTGCTCAAAATTTTTTACTGATGGGATGAATAGTCAAAATAGTTTGGAGACCACTGCTCTAGAAGAGTCCTGCTCTGTTTAAGGGCCACATCCTGCATTATTAACTCTAGCAGTACAGTGTTGTGGGGGGATACTCTCCCTTCTGGGGCAGACTCACACTGGTGCATTAATGCGGAATAAGGGAATGCCTTCCTCCTTTTAGTTTAACCCATAACTGCAAACAGACGAGGGCTTGGTTTTAATTAAGTTCTCTGGCTTTTACTACATAGCAAGACCTGTGGAGTCCTATTAATTTTGCTATCTTTGCAAAATTCCAACCCAGGCAGTAACTCTCTGCTTCTTGAGCCTCTGAGCTTTGGCCCAAGGGCTTCCCCTGCACGTGGCGCAGGGCAGGAACACCTTGGTCTTTCCCCTGCTCTGTGCAGAATTGCCGTAAGAGATTTCTGATGCAGAGGAGTTGGTCTGTAGCTACTGCTAACGCATTTGTTTCTGTGGACCCCTCTCCCAGGTTAACACTGATACAGTGTTCATTTCCTGACCCAAGCCTGTATAAGAGTACTGTGTATGTGAACCCTGGTGGATAACTCTACCTATTTAAAAAAAAAAAGAAAAGAAAAAAGAAACAAAAAAAAAGAAAGGAAAAAAGTAATCTTTCATGTATTTTGAAAAGATTGAATAGCTATTGTCTTGAAGTTACAGTTATAACTATAATCAGTCCCGTGCCTTAACAAATGCCATGGCGGTTACCAAGAGCCTGCAGAGTCTGGTCTCCTGATGTCTTGGCTTCTCTGCCAATATATGATTTCACAAGTTCAGCCTACAAAAGCCTGGAAGAGCTGCTTTTCAATCCCTTCTGTCGTCTGAGAGCTGGAAAGTAGGAGCTCAGATCCCTTTCTTCTTAAAGAATCGAGAAGCTTAATTTTCACTTTTGTTCCTGCCAGCAAGGTTTTAACTCGAGTACTAAAGTCATGTCCTTTTGACAGCTTAAAGGGAGAGATGCTGTGGAAAAGTAAGCTTCTAACTCCCTTTGCTTGATTCTGCTGCATCCTCTGTCTCCTCTTTTTTCATTGGTGTTACTGGGAGCTCTGGTTGTGGAGAAAATGTGGAACAAGCACTGTGATTCGGAAGAGTTTCTTCTCCCATTTCGGCTCTGTGTACATATCAGTCCTTGTCCTCTCAAGTCCAGTAAAATGCATATGGCTAAATCTTCTTAACCGGCCACTGAAATGCAGCACTTTTATCTGAGACAGCTGGCAGAGTGTCATCACTCAGCTGTGTACAATTGCATGCTTCAGATTGCTTTCCAGCTTTGTTATTGGTGTTGTCCAAAAAACCCGGATTTACTTCATATTTTTGCTCAGTGTAATACTCGCATATGATGTAGTTCTTGGCTGGCCAACAGAAGGGAAAATAATGCCGCGTTGGGTTGTTATGTGGAAAGCTTTGTAAAAGTTTACTTTGTCTTCGTAGTACACTGGTTTGCTTGCAAGTTGTGGTGTATGGCTTGTGTTGAGACAGTTGTTTTCAGGTCCCTAAAAATGAATGTGAAATGGACCCTTAAAGAGGCCTTTTGTTTGAGAACGCAAAATTTTATATCGTAAAGCAACCACAGTTCTATGATGTGACTTTCCCTTCAAATGGACAAACAGTAACTGTTGTCGTCCAGTAATAAATCAGAGCAGGAAGCAAAGCAAAACCGTAAGCTCCTTTGAGCAATTTTAATCAATTGTCCTCGATGAATTTTCCCTCTGTGGCATGCCGTAATGATTCAAAAATGCAAGCTGGAAAATAGTGGCTCAATGAGTTTCTTCTGTAACAAATACTGAGAGGTTAAATGAGATTTTTGTGTTCGCTCTGTTACTCTGCTGTTTTGGAAGGAGAATAGATTCTGGTAGTTTAAAGGAGGAATGAAATGTAAAACCATCATACAGAGGATGAAAATCAATATCCCTCATGTCTGAAGACTAGCTAGGTCAAATCGTAAGGTCTTCCAGCGCATGCTTTCTATTCGGAATCAGGTATGCACATCTGAATGGATGTGTGTGTGCAAAGCTTTGTTACGCAGCTAAGAGTTGCTTCTGGAAAGCGCTACGGAAGCTGAGTGGCCCCAAAGGCATGCAACCTGCACGAGGAGCGTGCAGCTATGGACAGAAGAGCAGCAGACTTGCAATTCCCTCTTCCCCCTGCGCCTCCCGTGGAAGGTTGGTGAGCTCTTGCAGTCCGAAGCGCGTTCCTGCAGCTCTTGGCAGAGGTGCGGCCGTGTGGCTAATGGGCTATGGCACACTTGACTGGTGGCTGACAGGGTATATCGTCTCTCAGTGTACAGTTATCGTTCACTTCAGGATGAACATTTAGGTTGTAATTTATTTGAGGAGGAACCATTTCAGCTCACGGTGAGGGTCACCTTCCTTCCAGACTGGGTGTTTTGGATTGCCGTTGGTGCCAATGCCAATGGCTATCTTGGTAGTTTATCTTTTGAGGGACTGGCTGGAGAAAATCACGCTGCAAATGATGGTGGGGCTGCGGGAAAGTGAGGGAAGCCCCAAAGCACTACCTGAACGGTGCTGCGGCGCTTCGAATTGGGTCTCAGTTTTAACTGGAGAACTGAAAACAGACTACCTGGAGCACCATGGTGAAATGACATCTTTTTCTCTCTTGGCAAGAGATGAGACAAAAAACCCCAAGTCAGTAATTAACCAAAACCACCAGAAATCCAGTCTCTGAGCCACTTCCGTTCCTGGCATAGGACAGTGTTTGTAAGGTTGCATTTTTCTTGTGTTTGTAAGATGACGTGGAGCTTTTGAAGTGCTTTAATGAAGTGCAGGGCAAAGGAAGAAATTGAGTCTGTTTTCCTTGCACTCAAGTGAGATCTTAAATTTTCACTCTTGCCGATTAACAGGTCAATGACCTGAATTTCATAACATGCCAAGAGATGGAAATCAGTCTGGTGTTTCCTTAAAGTGTTGTGTGAGCTTGAAGTTTTACAGATTTTTCTCTATGTCTTCAAGAACTTCATACAAGAGTCAGGGTTTCTTTTGTGGTGTAGGGAGCATAATGTGTGCTGCTGTGCTATAACCGGTATATCCTACCATACGCAAGCAAAACTATGGCACTAGATGTATTTTGAGAAACTTGTCCTACGACAAATCACTCAGGCGACTTTTAGGATATATGAATTAATGAGAATTAAATACCATATAAAATTCAATTGGAGATCCTTTGCTTTGCTAGCCACGGCTGGTGTTTAGTGCCATGTCAATGTATATATGTTGTAGTTATTCTGGTTGACTCCCTTTGAAAGTTGGTGCCGGAATTTTAAATCCTTCTGCTCTGTCGTGTCCTTTTGAGACCAGGGACTGGGGCCCATCAGAAGGGGCCTTCATTCCTCTGATGTTAACGCTATCTCGAGCATTGTCTTCAGGCAAGCCTGGTGTGAATTGTCTAACCTCATCTCATTTCTTTCCCTCAGCTGAACTTCGACTTGGATCGTGGCGTGTTCCCTGTGGTCATCCGAGCGGTGGTGGATGAAGGGGACGGTAAGCATGGTGGTGTGCTTCCTTGGTCGTCTTCTAGCTCTCTTTGAGGTTATGTGACTCCTTCAGGGCAGGCCTCCTTCTGCAGTGAAGAAAACATTTTACTTGTAGCAAAGGCTTGGGGAGCCTTTCCAGAATAAAAATATTTCAGGAGTTCACCTTAACTTCCCTGTATTAAAAGGGCCCAGATAACCACGGGTTCTTACACAAAAACATGCTTTTAAAATAGCCTCAGTTTTACAGGAAAAATGGCCAGACATTTAGTGTTGGAATAGTGTTTAGGAGAGCTCCTGGCTCTGCCACCAATGCCAGGCACAAATTGGAGCAAATTACTTCCTTTCTCTTTGGGTTTTGCATTTGCAGTTTGTAAGGCAAGGAGGGAGTTGGTCTTTTTCCCCCTCTTTGAGGGGTAAGTTGTCTTCATAAAAGCTATAGCTAACTGTAGGGTGGGCCTTCCCCTAGGAATGGTCAGAGAAAAAGAAATGGCTTTAAAATGCTCAGGCCACTGTTCCACCAAATACAGCTTCATTCAGCAGTTTAAAATTCTCCTGCTTTTTCTGAAGGGTGCTGAACGGTTATAGTAAAAGAGCCTAACCTTTCACGAGAAATAATATTGTCAATTATTTTTAAAGCACGTTGCCATTCTGGAGAAGGAAGTCCAGTAAATGTTTAGATTGTTACTCACCTTGCGCAGTATTTTCCTTAGGGGGTGTGTGCTTTTGGGCCCCGTGTGGTTGCACTCATTCTGAGCGTCAGCAATGAAAAGGGCACAAGAAAGTCCCGTTTTCTCTAAAATTGGGGGCTGTTGTGGTCAGCAGGACCAGCATTTCACTTCTGCGTTTTGTAACGTTTTGTACAAAATTTAACAATAATTAGAAAGGAAAAAATCCATTGTTGATTGCGTTGTTTAGTGCAGTCACTTGCTCAGTTTCTTATGTTGTAGATGTGAAAGTGCCCAGAAACTCACTGCGTTATTTTACAGTCCTCCAGGCGGAGCGAAATAGAACTGGATGAACCAATTTAAAGTGTGACTAACAAAGCACAGTGCAACATAAAGGAAATTACTTCTAAAGTGCATCTATTTTTAGTGATTTCAGGCACGGTTAGTAAAATTGACATATATGTATATTTCCTGACCATAAATATAAAACACCTTCCTCTCTTTATGAAGCTTTTGGCAAGGTATTTGTACTTCCTAATGTTGGGCATGCCTAGAAGGACCAAAAATAGAACAGGAGGCAGCATGGGAAGCATACATGTATGCACATACCATGCTCAGTCTTAGCCAATAGCGTACTGTCATCTATTTTAATAACCTGGAAAGGCAATTGCTTTTAAATCCTCTCCTGGAAAGAATATCAGCACAAAAATATGTGACACTTGAGAGAGATTTGAGGAAATTGTTGTGTATTTTGGTTCTTTTTTAACTGATGGGACTGGAAGGAGCTGGCCTTGTGCGTTTGGAGCACCTGGAAAATTACAGCTGGCCTGTAACTTGTTGTGTTAAATAAAATTGAATGGCAAATTAAAATAGCAGTCAGCGAGATGTTGGTTTGGTCTGAATTCTGCCAGGAGATGTTTGCGTGCCTTGAATGTGAGCTTGCAGTGTTAGCCCTCTCCCATTCCTGCCAGCGGGAATGCTCTCAGGGAAATGTACAGAAACCCTTAGGGGAGGGAAGGTGCCGCACAGAACGGGCCGCACAGCTCCAGCCACACATGCTGCTTGAATGCCACGGAGGGTATGAAGGGAAGCGATAGCTGTTATCTCTTACTTGGCTATTCAAACTGCAGGGAGGGACCTGAGTTTCATTTACAGAGTGAGCTGGAACAGCCTTGCTCTTGGCTGGCAGTGGGTGGAGCAAGGAGATGAATTCCCAGTTTTAGCCCTCTTTTCTGCATGCCATTACGTTCCTGAGCGCACCCAAATTGCCACGACCAATCTCCGTTACCCAGCAAATCTGCAGGCACGGACTCTCTTCTCCCACATACTGCTGTTTCCAGACGTGGTCACTGTGCTGTAGTCCAGTGAATGGTTCCTCGTGTTGTCTCTGTGTTGTGGGGGCCCAAAGGAAGCTCTTGAGCTCCTCTGCCTTTTAGACAACACAGGAGTTGCTTCCTTCAGCTGTTAACTTTCTGGCACAGAGCTGATAGTAGTGTCTGCCAGCTCTTCTGCATGTGCTGAGCACAGCCCGGGTACTCGTCGGTCCAGGCAGGGCGAGGTGGTTACGTGCCTTCCCTTCCCTCGGTGACGCCCCCATGACTTCTGTCTCCCATTTCCATATGATGAGTCTGAACGTAATTAAGTAAAAGGGTCCAACCAGTTGGAGCTGAACAGAACCTTAGAGTCTTGAGCCAGAGAGACTGGGGTTGTACCTCGGCTTCCTCTATTCTGTATTTGCTGAGGGAGCCACGAATGCAGTACAGAAACCTCTGACAGCCCCTTCGCAATGCTATTGGATTAAGAGGAATCCCCGAGTTTGGAAGAGGGAAGACGTGATGTTTGTCTTTGGGGAAGAAAAATCAGAGAACTGCACAGAGATGTTTCAGTGTCCAAAATTGGTGTGAGAAATAAATGTTTTATAAGCATGTTGGATTAGAGTGAAATAGTGATAAGTACCAGGGCTGGAAGTACTGACAACTGCTGTTAAACCAGATGGATTTATTAATCTCTGTGATAAATTCAGCTAATTAAAAACAGGAATTGGAGGGGAGAGCAGAATCCTACTGAGCTCTTTGTTTTACTTTCCCTTTCCAACCTCTGAAAACAAAATGGGATAGTTCAGAGCACCCAAGATAATGAAGGCATGCCTGTGTATGGCCCACCACAGAGCCCAGCAGGGTTTTGTTCTTGCTCCGCAGGAGTGTGAGATGAACCAACCTAATGACAAGACAAGAAAAGTTTTAAATTGCAAGAGGAGATGAAAATAGAACAGGTGGTGGTTTAGAAATTATAAATGGACTAAAATTCAGCTTGTGGTAGTTCTATGCTTGTGCTGTTTTCAAGGTTTAACCAGGACTGCTGCTCTTCTTTTTGCAGTGGTGGTTGAGGTGACGGGTCATGCCCATGTTCTTCTGGCTGCATTTGAAAAGGTAAATGGGTTATTTTTTCCCCTCTGTCCCTGTCCTTGTATATGTAAACATTTCCATGGGTCATTAGTTTGTATTTATATAACACTTACCACAGTGGAGTCCTGGCCCATGACTGGAGTTCCCGAGTGCTATTGTAGTACAAATAATTGCTTGCAGCAGCTTTGCTTGCAGCCTGTAATTATCATTTGTACCAGAACTGGTCACTTGGCTAATTGTAGCTGGTGTTTCCTGTGTGTGGGGAGAGGGTGTGCCTCAGTGGCTGTCGTGTTTGAAGGTGGAAGGTGTTGACCATGGCTGCTACCGTGCAGTTTTCCAGGGCCTCGTGCTCTCTTTGCAGAACTGGATCTGCTGTGTCCAGACCCCGTTGCACCATTGTTTGGCCTTAGTTTACATGTAGCACCAAGCCCTTTTAAAGAATTAGGATACATCCTGCATAAAGACTTTGAGCTCCACTACTTTTCAGTGGCATGTTTGTTGTAGCTGACTGCTGCCTACATAGTAAGGCTAAGCCAAGCTGTATGCACAAGTCTTGATAACAAGCTCTCTTCCCATGATAACTGGACCTTGAAAACAGTTGCAAGATCCATAACCGCACCATGTTGTGTCTGGTTGTGGTAATACTGCAGACACGTATCCTGGACAAGTGATACTTGTAGTGACATGCTAAGGTGAGGCAAGAGATGCTGGAGCAGAGCTGGGCCTGTAGAGGGGAGCAGCATCAACGCTGTGCTGTTAGAAATTCCCCGCTTCCAGGCTGGCATGTGGACTGACGACTTCTTCTCAATCTGCTTGGTTCCTGCCATATCCTTGAGCAAGTTGACAGGTCTTACTCTGTTCCTCCTAGGTGGATAATGTGGATGGTGACAAGCTGAGTCAGAGGGCATGGGAAGCACAGTCAGTCCTAAGGAAGCCCTGTGGCTGGAAGATGCTCTAAGTGTTCTAGGTTGCTTTTTTGATGGGCTTAGTATGTGAAGAAAATGAGTTTTCCTGTGTTAGAAAGGCTTCTCTGAGCACTGGCTCTGTAGGTAGTTCTATTCCTGGCAATTAGAGATCTGTCAGAAATGAGATGGGCAGCTGCAGCACCCCTGGGACTAGGGCAGGGATGTTATTCTTCCAGTTTCCTCCTCCAGCTGATCTGGAAAAACAAAACACAGTGGTATCCCTCAGTCATTGTTCAGCAACACCTGGGAGAGGACAGCGTGGGCAGTGGGCCCTTGGGGAAGGCTGTAGTGTTTGGAGTTGTGCTGTAGACGGAGACCCCCTAGCCTTGCAAAATGAATGATCAACCATTTCTGAGGAGAGAAAAATAGATGAGACCACCAGCTTCCTGTGTGTTACAGCCTGATTTTGAAATATTCCACACGTTTGCCTTCCTCATCTGCGAGACTCACCTGTGCTCCACTGGCTATTGCCTTCATAGCTTTTTGGTTGTAGCTAGGTTCAGGTTAGGCTTTGGATCTGATGATGCGAGTATGACTTTTACTTACAAAAGAGTGTGTCTAGTTGCTGTTTTCCAAGTATCCAAACATAGCGCTGTTGCAGTAAGCCCAGCCTCAGTGGTCAGGGAGTAGAGCTCTCGCTTGGACCTGGATTTGTCCCAGCTTCCCGTTCTAGCATCCTGTGGCCAGCACTTGATAATAGCACCTTATGGAAAGCAGGAGAATACACACGTATTGGGAATGTATTAGCATGAGGGCAGAAGTGAAGCTTTGGAAATTTCTGTCTCGTGAGATTGGAAAGTGGCTTGAGTCTGTTTTAAAAAGTCTGTTTTACTCTTAATTTGTGCACTTCAGCTATTTAACACATTTCCTTTTTTTCCTGCTAGCACGTTGATGGCAGTTTTTCCGTGAAGCCGTTAAAACAGAAGCAGATCGTAAGTACCCGTTTCCTGTCTACTGCTTGATTAAAGACATTTGCTGGTGTCCTGCAGGTGCCCGACTGTACCCAGTGGGAAGCTTCAGTGTTAGTTCACTGAGAGCCTGAGATCTCACCTTGTTGGCGCAGATATCACAAGCAAAGGCAGTGAGCTGCTGGCAACCCTTAACGTCGGGTGGGTTGTTGCACAGCCAGATGTGTGTTGGGGGAACAAATATGGCAGCGTGGGACTGGCAGAACAACGGTGCAGGTCTCTTTGTGCTTCTCTGGGAGGCAGGCACTATGTATAGATCCAGTCTTCCCTATGTGTTCCTGCCTTGCTGGCATTTGGCGCTTGAATACAAAACTGGCAGAGCCCCTAGACATCCCACAGTACCGATGCTTCCATGTCTGCATAGGTGCAAGTAAATCAGGTTTGCATAAGCGAGCTTAGGTGCTGTGTGCGTTAAGTAGCGTGAAGCACATCTGTTCATTGACATTGCCTGATCTCCTTAGGTTCCGTGTTTTGTGGTGTGGAAGGATATCTTTGCAGGCTCCCCGTGTCCTACCTGGAGGCTGAAAACTGTTAGCTTTCCACATGTGTGTGTGTTAAGATATTAGGGGATCGTCTTCTCCCTGCACAAGCTTCCTTGTTGTGCCCATGGTATCTTTGGAGCAGCCCCAGGGACTGAGATCTTTTGGCTCATCTTTCCTGTCTTCTACAAGTATCCTGGGACTTGAGCAGTCACAGAAACGGTCTTGCTTTGAAGCTGTTGTTTATGTACCAGACTGCACGCGTTATGAGGGGAAGGGAAGAAGGGAGACTGGCAAACAGGGAAACATTAGGGATCTGTAGCCCTTTTTTAGCCCGTCCCGGTGTGGTGTGATGCGCAGAAGCTGCGCGCTGCCTTATCAAGATTGAAATTGCATCCGGTCTTGCATAGAGAGAAATACATAAGCAACTGCAAACTGCTAAGATTGCCAAGAATTTCAGCTTCTGAAAGGAAATCTGGTAGTAATCCTGCTGCAAGGATCAGCTTGAAATGTCTTGGAGAAACAGATGAGATCTTGGTGGTCGATCCCTTCACCTTTAGGTGTGTGCTGTGTTTCTGCTTTAAATGTGTTTGACTTCAGCTGCTTGTGATTGATGGCTAGGGTTTTCTGATCTGAATTAAAAAGCCTATTACTACCAAGAAGGTCATTAAGTGCCTTGATTAGACACTTTTTGCTCTAGGATGTTCCTTCCAGTCCCCAAGTCAGAAAAGGGCCACTAAACAGTACCAGTTAATCACATATCAAAATTGTGTTCAGTAATTCACTATCTGCCTCACCAGTGCTGTGCAGAGACTCACGGCCTGTCCTTCAGACTTGCTCATGCCCAGTGGCAGCAATATTAGCCCTCGCTGCCAGAGCTTTATCCCGGTGCTAGCGGTGAGTTACTTGCCGCTCCAGCCTGACGTCTGTTCTGAGCCCTGTGTGTCCCAGACTGACCTGCGTTCCCCTCCCTTCCTTGGTGCTTAACTTGGCTGTGTTGCAGCATGACCTCCTGGCTAGTTGATCAGTCTGGGTCCCACAAGTATTTTTAACAGAGACAGCCAGAGACTGTTCCGGAAAGGAGCCTATAGAGCATGCGAAGGCAGGTTTGTAGTGGGAACATCCAGAAGAGCCGTGCCTGTGAAGGGAGAGCTCGTGCGCTGTGCTGGAAGAGGCTGCCTGAGCGCTGAGGGAGCAGAGCAGTGCGATGCCATCGGTGCCTCTTTCTCACATATTCTTCTGATGGGAGAAGAGCATTCACGAGCTGAGGAAAAGCCGCTCATTTATCTTGCTTGTGGGTTTTCGGGGGGATTTTTTAAAATTTTTTTGTTTGTTTGTTTAAAAACAGTGCTTACATGGCTGTGAGCTCTCTGAGTTGGTATTGGGTTACTGCGCACACTAATGCAGTGTGTACCATTCTCCATTTAGCACTCCAGACTCCCCAAATGGAGGGCTGTCTTGCTGGAAGTGCTCTCTAGGGAAGTTCCCACCCTACCACAGTATGGTTAGCTGACTCCTGCAGTGAAACAGTGTGTGCTTGTCTGTCTTTACTGGCAGAGCATGTAACCTTCCCACTCAGTGTTTGGTTGTGGGTATTTTTTTTATTGGCAGTTTGTAAAATGTAATGCTTATATGTTCTCTCTCTCATGGCTTCTAAAATAGAAGGAAGCTCTTTCTAGAAGAACACATGTACCACTGAAACTGAGATAGCATCTGCACCCATAAGAGCATAGAGCAGAGGTATACAGTATATGTCTGCAGTATGACATTGAACATTCTTCCCCATCACTGCTTTTCTTTTGCCCTCCCCTCCTTGCCATTGCCAGGATTCCCAGGTACCTTTTGTGTGCATCGATCTCTCAAGCTTTTTGGGAGCAGGAAGCAGCAGCTAATGAGCTGAACTGCTTTGTTCTCTCAGCTGAGATCAGTCATAATATATGTACCAACATGTTTAAAGAAATTCAAGATGGATGAATGCAAACAGATGGATCAGCAGAAAAACATGACCTGGACTTGGCTGGTGGCTCCTGTGTGCATCAGCTGAGGCTGTATATAGCAACAGAAGCCTTTGGAAGGATGATGTGGTGCGGGATGGGTCGGAGAAGCGTGAAGGTGAAGGACTGCATTGTGTACAATCACCTACTCCTCCTTATTTACTCCTCCGCTTTTAAAACCTAGAGGTTACTCTTTCTAGTAAGAGCCATGTTGCACTGCTCACCCTTTTCCTACTGGGACATGAGCTTCTCGGGATTTTTAGAGGCAAGCAGTTAAAATGAATGCAGACTCCTGCAGAGGCTTTGGTCTCTTCCTTCCTGACCTCTTTTTTTGCTTTGAGCTGACCACTTCTGCACTCGCTGTCACTCATCATGATCCTCCGAGGGGTCAGGATGCTGTAACAAGACTCTCTTTGAACTGTCAAGTTACAAAAGGACATCTCCCACGTAATTGTTCCCAAACTTCCTGGGTGAGTTGTGAGCCTCTGCAGAGGATTTTGCTCAGCAGTCCAACAGCTGACCTCATTGCTGTGAAATGCAGGCCTAGAACAGATTGTAAGCTGCACGCTGAGTTAAACGGGTAGACTCTGGAATTAGTTTGTTAAAGCTGCTGCATCCCAGTTCAGTGCATTTCTAAACTGGCGAACAGGCTGGATATAACTAGCTCCTGCCCCCATCTTGGCATATGACGTCTTCTGCAGCACTGAAATCCCATGGCAAAGCCATTGCTCTTCTGAGCACCTGGCTTGACAAAAGGAGAGGAGAGAGGCCGATTACACATGGAAATGCCAAAAGCCGTGGGACTGATGAGCTGTTGAAGCACTGGGTTCCCAGTGCATGGTGTCAACTGGACAGTTACTGAAGATGGCAAGAAAGTGTTTCCTTCCCCTATTTGCGAGATGTGTCAGTTTGATACCTTGCAACCCCTTCACCATTTTACCTGTTGTGGGGTTTTGTGCGGAGGAACACGCCCTGCTCTGGGGAGGCTGCTGTGTAGCACCAAATCTTGAGGGACCAGTATCTTTGTGCATCCTTGTAGAGGCTGCTCCTCACAGCTGTAAGAGTCTCGTGCTGTTCTTGCTGGCTAAGCTAGGGAACGGGGGAGAACACCCCGCAGTGCAGAAGGGGCTTGCCTTGCTGGGACTTGAACCATCAGCCTTTCTTGCCTCAGTGCTTTAATTCAGCTGCTCGGGGGAGTTTGCAGGCAGCTGCCAGTGTTTGCATAAAGGTATGGCTCTGAGGAGTACGTCCCAGGTTTGGGGCTGTGAGCAACTTCCACTGTGCCTAGAGCGCTTTCTGCCACCACACACCCCAATTTAGAGATGCCACCAAGGGCCTGGAGGTGGTAATAAATGACACTGCGCTAATGTCGTCCCTCGAGCACTTCTCATGCTAAGGGAGATGGTTTGTCTCTCTTCAGTAGCTTGACCTTATGCTCCTAGGTGATGAACAGGGAAGTGATGTGCAGCCATTGATGTGCCAGTAACGAGCTGTTGGCACAGCACGTCCACTGAGGTTACAAAGATGGGTGGAAGTTCATCTTGGATAAAGTTAAGCAGTACTTCACAGAAGGAAAGGCCTGTTGAAGGCTGATTGCCTCTGGCTTATTTGAGCTATGGGTGCCTGTTCCCTCTTGATCTCTGAGACAAGCAGAGTTTTTAGATTATTTTGATAGTGACAACAGTGATCAGTTGGGCTCCTGCTTAGACCAGACAGGATGGGCACCACTTTTTGAGCAAGGAGAGACTCCTTCTCCCAGCTATCCTTTGCAATATTTGCTTCTGTTAATTTTTTTGTGTGGCTCTAGGGGAGCCGGCTGCCATGGACATTTTGACACAGGGAGGGAGGGGAGGTGATCGCGAAGCAGCAATGACAGAGCAGCTGGCACACCAACTGTTGTCTTCTTCCCTAGGTTGACCGGGTGAGCTATCTGCTTCAGGAGATCTACGGCATCGAGAACAAAAACAACCAGGAGACCAAGGTAAAGGTTCTCAGGAGGCTCCTGCTCCCTGAGCTGTGGGTTTCCAGCCTGCACCTTCTGCTTTTGAGCTTAACTATGGGGCTTGGCAGGGCAATGTGGAGATGCCTCCCAGAATGACTGTCAAGTCTGTGTGCAGGCACTGAAGAAGCCCAGGGATGGCAGGTTCTCACTGTTGTAAGGCCCAAACAATCAGTGGAGTTGTGCTGAGATAATTTTAGGTAGCATGAGGCTCTTGAGGGTATTCCCTGGGGCTGGAATTGCTGGGAGAGAAGGATATCAGTGCCCCATGGGGCAGAGCACTGATCTTTAGGGCCTGTAGAGAGAGTGGGCCAGTGTTAGCTGCTGCTCTCGGTGCCCTGAGGCTGCTGGCTAGTCTAGGTGTTTCCCAGTTTGCACAACCAAGAGTATCTTTTTTTTTCTCATTGAATGTAAATGAGCATTGCCTCCCAGGCTCCTCTGAAATCTTCCCTCTGGTGCCCACGCCATCTCACTGCCTCTCTGCAGTCAACGCAGTTGCGCCTGGTGTGTCTGTGCTTTGCTCCTGTGGCTCCTTCATCGTCTCCTGTTTGTTGGGGGGTGGGTGACGTGTTGTTTTTTTTTAATGGGGGGACTGCGTGTTCCCGTAGCATTGCAGGGAACTGAGCTCTCTAGGGCTGGCCAGTGTCCAGAGAGCAGCCTGCATTCCCCAGCAAGAGGGAGCACAGCATCACTAAGGGATGTATATGTAAATGCATCAACCAGAAACATTGCCCATCTTTAGGCAGGAGCTTCTGCTGAATCCCAGCTTGCTGCACAGCTCCATGCAGATTACGTGACTGCTTTATGCTCGCTTTAGCCTTAGGTAGAGCTGCCCTTTGCTGCCACGTGGGCTGCAGAGTGTGCCAAGTGCTGGCCTCAGGATCAGACCGCTCTGGTGTGTGTAGTGCATGGCTTGCAAACAGAGGAGTAGCCAAAGAGCAAGACAAGCAGGATTTCCTCTCCAAGCAATGCAGTGTCCTGCCCAAAGCATCCTGTGATCTCTGTCTGCCTGTGCCAACAGGTAGCACCTGAAGAGGCAGGAGGGAGAAGTCTTTTCAAAGATTTTTCTTGCACAGTGTCATGGTTTAACCTCAGCCAGCAACTAAGCCCCACAGAGCCGCTTGCTCACTCCCCCCAAGTGGGATGGGGGAGAGAATCGGAAGGGTAAAAGTGAGAAAACTTGTGGGTTGAGATAAAGACAGTTTAATAGGTAAAGCAAAAGCTGTGCGCGCAAGCAAAGCAAACCAAGGCATTCATTCACTCCTTCCCATCAGCGGGCAGGTGTTCAGCCATCTCCAGGAAAGCAGGGCTCCATCACGCGTAACGGTGACTTGGGAAGACAAACGCCATCGCTCCAAACATCCCCCTG